TAGCCGAAGGTGAGGGAATGGTGAAGAAAAACTGGCAGATGCTCTAAAATAAATTAAGTAGTTAGTAACTTATAAATGTATAAAAATAGCAACAAAATTATTAAAAAAAAAATAATCTCTTGTGTACAAAAAAAAAGAAATTTTTACTTATCAAATCATCTTCACATTTCTTCGATAATGTCGTAGTGTGTGTAAGGGTGTAAAGGTTGCCCTATTTTATTACATAAACCACAAAGAATTTGGATAATAGAATCACAAAAAAATCTAAGATAAAAAATAAAATAGATAGTAAAGCATTAGAAAAGGTGCTAATATAAGAGACATGAAATTTCAACAAAAAGCATACTTATCTTTCATAACCTCAAAAAATAATTAATATGCAAAGCTTCTAAATAACCTGAAGTTTGTAATATCATAGCTACCATACTTGTTAAGAACTGTACAATTATGATGGAATTGACTAAGCTAACTAATAGATCCTTGGATCAAAAGGATGCAAATAATTATCCAAACATGTCGCCCAAGCTAATTTTGAAATAAAACATGTTAATCAAATTTCAAAATAATAAAAATTTAATATAATCTAAAGTAAGCACTATTCAATGACTTTATAGGTGTAATGCACAAGGTTATTTTTCTTCTTATCCAAAATTAAACATTTACTAGTAATAGTGTGATTAGCTTTTTTTTTATATCGATTGCTAATGATCAATAAACTTTAAATATAAATTGAAAAAATGGTTGATCAATGCAATCTAAGATCAAAAATATAGCATACTTGTAAGAGATAATGATTACATTAATAACACAGTATTTATTTTGACCTTCTTGCATATAATACTGAATTTTGATATCATAATGATTATGCCATAAGAGATTATTAAAAGAAGCCTGCAAATCATCTATTTCAAAACCAATACTATTAATGCTATTGAATATTGTTTTAGTTTCATGTCAAATTTTTTGCTAGCAGCAAGAAGCCTATTTATAAGCCAATTAATCACATAATTCTCTTTAATTCATATAGTAAAGAATGCAGATCTTTACTGTAAACTGTTACTTTACAAAGGTATATTGGCAGGCTTCATTTTGTTGAAACATTTTAAGCCAAGTATTGTAAAAAACATTAATAGATTTTAAGTTAAGAATGTAGTCAATACAATACATTAATGGAATAAATTCTTTTTTGGGGGTTGACTCTAGTATAGGATCATTTAAAATACCTTATATCAATAAACTGTATTATATGACATCTCTAAATAGCACTGTTGAGGGGTTTTATATATAAAAATAAAAAAAAACCTTATGTAGAGAATCAAAAAATAATCACCAAACAAAATACTACCCAAGGGTTCTAATTGACTTTGAGAGTTTTCTGAATCACAAAAGTAAAAAGGTTTATAATTATAGTTATATAGAATCAAGAATTTGAGCCTTAACCATCTACAAACAAATAAAACTTTTATACTTGTCAAATAATTCTTTAAAGACATCTGCTTTTTTATTGTTATATAATTTTCTAGCATAAAATGACTTATGCACCATCTTTACACTCTTACTAGACAATATATAATTACAAAGAAAATCATCTTATATATAAATATTTACAGTCGACACTTTGAACCAAGTCTATTAGCCTATTGAGATTGTATTTATTTTTAATAACCGTATAAAACATCATGTAATAACAACCATCTCTATGCTATCATTATATATAAATAAAATTTTATATGCATAGTACATTATTATATACATACATACATATATATATATATATATATATATATTTAACTAGCTCTATTCTTATTAGTACATTAGTACAATTAATGCTTTTTATTTTTTAATTTTTCTCTTTCTTCTTTAAGTTCCAGTTAATTAGCATATTGAAGATAACTTGCAGCCAGAAACTTGAAATCAATAGTAATATAATCTAGCTCTTTAATATGATTTAAAACCATAGAGTTATAATTGGGATCTTCTCCTCTCGATTCTGCTTTCAAGAATTCTACATGTATTTTGAGACTTTTAGCAATAAAAGTTTTCATCGATTTTACTTCCAGTTTACGATTTTTGAAAATATCATAATCGAGTATATCAATATATTTTTTAAGAGGCTTTTCCTATACAGTTTCAGTGATGAACCTTTCAATATTATGATCCAAAGGATTGCTATAATTTAATTTAATATTATTAATCATATTTATTAAATATATTGAATCAAGTATAAAAGACTAAAAACTTAAACCTTTTTTTGTGAATCAACTGATTGGCCAATTTAGCCAGATCATTATTTAACATGATGTGAAAGTTTTCGAATGCCTGTCACAATTTATTTGAAATTTCATTATAATTAGAATGCATTCTAGCTATATTGAGAATAATACGATTAATTAGTGAGGCACAAGTTCTCTTTGTTGGCATACGAATTTGCAGGAATAAAATTTGGGATTGTTCCATGAGTATTTTTTCTATATTAGGCATTTCATTCTGAGAGACCTATTTATTGTATATAAATTTTATAATTAAAACCTTATAACTTTTAGCAAAAAACCAAAGTTAACTTTTGCTACACAATTAATTGCTATATAACATATCAATACATATAAATATTTAATAATAGTTAGAGTAGGTACTGAAATTATTGATAATATTTATTATATTAATAAAGTCTCCTTTGAACAAGTTGTTACATAGAGGATGGCAATCCTAGTGTAGTGGTTGGGTTGTCATCCTCCAAGTGGCAGGTCTAAGGTTCAAATCCCACCTACGA